ATATATATATATATATATATAAATTTTATAAATTAAAACTTGATATGTGTAATGAATGATATCGTGCTGACACTATTAAAAAAATATAACTCAATCTCTATATTATGTAAAAATGTATGATATTCACATGTGTTTTTATGTCAATGGTTTTGCATGTTATAAAAAGTCTATTAGAATAAAATAACATCCTTTCACAAAAACATGACCTCAAAGTATTTAAATTCTTTTTATTAAGCAATATGTTTATTAACATTACATTAATGACATAATGAATTTATATCACAAACAATATATTTTTTTCATTTTTAAACAATTCTTCGTTACGTAACTATAACTTTACTAACTAACAATTGAATGTATAAATCCTACAAGTTTTAAAAATATAAATAGCATCGTATATCCGATATAAATACACATTGGCACAACTCTAAACAATTCACATTGCCATAAGAACGTTAATGCCTATACAGCAGGAATAAAAGCTATTATATAAGATATCTTTTAACATACATATATTATTAATTATATAAGTGTAGATTGCTCATCTCTTACCGCGCTGACTCCAAAGTAGCCCCCTTAAATCTGTATTATATTTTTAAAATAATTATTATATCTATATATATATATTTATCATATAATACTAAAGTCTTATCGTCATTAAGACAGTGCTGTTACTAGCATTATTACGAATAAGAGAATATTTAATAAAATTAAGAAAGCGATGAAATAAAAGTTGAAATATGCTAATATGAGCCGATACAGAAAGTTGTTGTGTGTATACTTTATTATATGTTAATAATCCATATACTACACACAAACGTTTCGATCCTTGGTTCGGATCCTCTTCAGTGTAAATTTCCTTCACAAGTAATCATCTATACTTACTATACGTCGTAAAACTGCTGTTGAATTAATTTTTTTAAATACTTTTTTAGTCGAAAGTATAGGAGAACGACGTAAGAGAGAGTACAAGAAAAAACGACAAAAATTGTATTCTAAAATATGTCACTGAATTAATTTTGCTACTTGACTTTAAAATATAACGTAATTGTCATTGATTCATTGGCAAAATTGGACAATATTTTGATTGATGTACTTTTTTATTTTGTTTCTTAAATAAATGTATACTTTTTGCAAAAAACGGACGGAACTTTCCGATTGACCTAATAGTAAATTAAATGCGTATTTGTATATAGTAGCCTCTGATGATCCGATAAATTTTCGCCATTTCCTCGAGTTCAATTTATTCCCAAATTTTGAGTTATTTCTGCGGTTCCTTTTTTACATCTAATCATGAGAACGTTTTAGAAGGCATTTTCGTGTTGGACGCAATGTTTCGAGTTAACTTTGAAAAACTATAACAAGGCTCCGTGCAGTCCTATACAAACGGGATATAAGTTCCATCTTTTGTTCGGAACATAAATCTTACCGAAGTTACGGCGAACTCACTCATTGTAGGTACTCTCTAAATCTGAAAGTGGATAATCACTGATATCAGTGCCAAATATGACATTGGTAATCAGTGAATGAAATGTGAGATCTCTAACCTAGCTAACTTTTATTATGTGATGTAACTAATCTTGTTTTATAGTGTATAAATACAATAAATGTAGTATTAAAGATTGAAATTGACATGCAAATATCATTATTTTAAGTATATAATGCTCAAACTAGCTTTCTTTCTTAGTGTTCCTTCTAACAAGGCACAATTCATCATATCATCCTTATTTCACATGGGCGAACAACAATGTAGCAATACACTATCATCTATAGAATCTATATCTTATAGAATAACCTCATGTTATAGAATACAAGGAAATCACATAAAAAATTTTTTTCCGGACAATTTCACGAAAAGTCATTTTCCTACATTTCTTTTGGAAATTTCTAGTTATTTGTTGTATTTTCATTAAAAAACCTATATGAAATTATTATCAAATAATACATAACAATTTGTTTCGTTAATCTATATCTTCGGGAAGTTGCAGTGCCAATTTAAAAAAACGTGGCGCTTATGACCCGGATTTATTCTATTTTTATATATATATTTGATTATAATAATACATTTTATTTGATATGTGTACTGATTTTCGATTTGTATTTTTTTGAATTAAAAATGGAAGATTAGGGCAAGTTGTTACACTTCAAATTGACTATCTAGTTAAAGGTGTACTTGAAGCAATGTATAGATTTTCATTAATTTAAATGTATACATTAGTACGAAAAGAAATGCTAATCAAAAATTGTAACTTGCCCCGGTCTCCCCTATATGACCGGAAAATTATCTAAATATGATTGGAAATTTTCAAGTAAACAGCTGGTGAAGGGGCGATTAGAAAAGCACTGATTCATGGGCTCTCTCAAAGAGATGAATATTATAATTAGATCGCGTAGCTGCAAATGCAGAGTATAGTAAAAGACCACTATTTTATTTATGCGTTTGTCGTACGACAAATTTTTCAAAGCTGTTGATTGGCTATATAGAATAGAGGATCTCTCTGTCCTGCATACATTTGTCGTACTACAAAACTGTACAAATGAAGTAGCGGCCATAGAGTACCTCAAATAAGAGCTAGTATTCATAATCAGATCTTATATTCAAGACCGTCTTAAATACGGTCTTAAGAAGTTACAAATCAATCAGAAGGCCGCATTAGTGTCTTAAGATATTATTTAAGATAGTTTTGAAATAAGAATCGAGTATGAATGTCAGCCGTAGTGCGGACAGAGCGCGAATAACAAAGCAAAACCGGAAATGAGTTTGTGTAATAATCTGCTACACAGCCAGGCATTGTAACTTGACAAATTCATGTCTTCATTTCATTAAAATGATATATTCCAATACGATCCTTCACCATTCACTTATACTTTTCATTTATATTTTATCTTAAAAAAACAACAATTTTATAAACGTTTGTATAACATGATTATTTAACCCACTCCTAAAAAATGTTTTTAAAGCGATCTTAAATGGTTTTAAAATAACCATTCCTAAACATTTTATGAACATTGCTATTCTACTTGGGTACAGAGGAAACTGATCTCGGTATTAAAGATAAGTAAATTTCATACAGCAGTATACTAAAAAAATCACTTTGTCACAAAATATTGTATATTATATTATTTCAAAATATTCCGTATGTATTTCATGGCACTAATAAATTCAAGATATTTTTATTAATTAATACGGCAATTTACAAAAGAATTTTGAAGAATTGAAAATTTCGAATCTCATATTATATAAATCTTTACTTAACTGCAGGTTGCCATAAAACTTATAAATTGACGTCCATACCTTGGGGGCGTTCGGCATATCAATATAGAGTCAAATTTCACGAACTGTCTGATAATTAATCTGATACTATAATGAACAGAATTAGTTCAATTAGAGTCGTTGATTTGTAACGATCAATATGAGAATATTCAACGTGTTCGGATTCCTTGGTATCTTTTGCATCAGTTATGAACAATCTTGTACGTAAGTAATAAACTAAATTAAGATAGAACTATTTGCGCAATATTAAGTATTTTTAAGTTCAATAATATTTACGTTATTGATATTTTTTTAATAATTTTAATAAATATTACAATTTTATCGTCTCATAAATCATTTTTGTAAAAAATAATATTTAAATTACATAATTTTATTTAATTCAAATACTATTTTTTGTTAGATATACATATTTGTAAATTTTAAATTAATGAGTATCTCTAATGTTTTCATAGATGCTTTTGCTTTTTCGATCGATTTAATAAATAAAATGAATACATGGAAATGCAAGAAATTGGAACAGTCTTCGCCATTAATGCGCCTTAAAAATCATCTCTTTTGCGATTATGATAATACTGTTCATCCGAATTATCCTAAAACAACTAATGTTACTATGCACTTAATGCCGAAGTTAATAAATTTCGTAAGTATATAGTTATGAAGATGTTACAATATGTAAATTAACAAATTAATTTAAAAAAATGGAATAAAAATTATAATAAGCTAAAAGTTATCCTCTAAATAAATAATTTATAGAAACTTTGTAAATTTTACTTCTCTTTCTTGATATTAAACATATTTTTTAACAAAAAAGCTTTTACTGTTGTCACGTAAAACGTTAATTTTGATAACATTTAATTTTTCTCTAATATTTGACAACATTATACTATTTAATATATTGCGATGATTAAAAATAATTAAATAATTTTATTTACAGCAAGAAGAAGGTAAACTATCTTTGCACAGCTGGATGTCACTTGTGAGTGTATCTTTTTTTTTTGACATAGGCTTGTTCTTTTTGACTGAACTTTTGCACCAGTTCATCTTTCTTCCTCTTCTTTCCTCCTGGAGAGGAAAGGAAGAAAAGTAAACTGGTGCAAAAGTTCAACTAAAAACAACAGGCCTTATATCTCAATTTGTTCTAACACAGTAAAATAATTGATATTTTATTATACAATATTTCACAGGCTTGGACGGACTCACAACTTACTTGGATACCGAGCGATTACGACGGGATTACCTTTATTCATGTGAAAAGCTGGCGGATCTGGATGCCCAGTCTATACGTCAATGATTCGTAAATTAACTTTTAAATTAAAAATTAATTCTGTCCTTTCTATAGATCGTTAAATCAATTTTTTCGATTGTTTTAGCGGTGAAATGTCGAATGACCAATATAAACAACCTATAACAGAATGCTTGCTCTTCAACTCGGGCTCTGTTAGTTGTGTGCCTGCGGTGAAATTTATTTCTAAATGCAATGTCGATTATACTTATTGGCCTTATGATAAACATCAATGTAGCGTCACGTTTCTTTTGTGGATGCATCCAGGAGAAGAAGTCAATTTGTTGATAGCTGGAAATGGGGTGTGTTCTTTAGTTAAAAATTATTTAATTCCTTAATTATTTGTAATTCTGACCGAAATTTTTACCGAAACTGAAAACGAACACTCATTATGTATGTATGTGTTTCAGTTTGGGCTGAAACTACTTGTATATATAGCTCTTCTTTATAGATATTAATTTTAATATTGTAATTATTTTTGTACAGTACTTATCTACATAGAAAACATTACTATTTTATTAAAAAAAAAGAATAGAATATTTAATCGCGTCCACTATTGATTGTAAATATTTTTATTGTAAAAAAAATAATATTCTTTGCAGATTTCTATGAGCGACTACACGAATGATACGAAGTGGGATTTCAAATTTACAAGTGCGGAAGCCACAAAATTTAAGTGCTGTCCGAACGATACATTCCCAAGGCTCAATTATAACTTCTTATTGATACGCCATCACGGCAAACATCACTTAACTATTATTTTACCGGCTATCGGTAAATAATTGCTTGCAAAGTAGAAATGCAGGAAATAATTAATATTAAGCATGATACATTTCTTTTCAGCTTTGATACTATTCACTTTAATAGTGCTCTGCCTCGACTTAAAATCGGTTGAACGAATGACGGTGGCAAGTGTGAATTTTATTTGTCATTTACTCAGCATATACTTTTTGTTTTGGATTCTACCATTCAATCATGTTAATCCCCCAAATATATGTAAGTAATAAAATCTTTAATAACATCATCAAAGTATAAAATATGTAAAGAATATATATTCTCTAATTTCAACAAACTTTTTTTATAACGATTACGAATATTTATTTCGAACATTAGATTAATTAGAATCTGAATAATTTTTAATTTTCTGATTAATTGTATGCTCAGAATAATGGATTACTTAAAAAGTAATTATACTATTACTGTAATCCAAAATATTTTTCGATTTAATTTGTTGAAAGTATAAAATATAAGATTACATATGTATATTAACTAAAATTAAAATTTATATTCAAAAATTTACAATATATCGTAAATGTCGAAGAATAAGCATTAAAACCAATCATAAAAAACATAGTTTTAATTATACAATAAATATTATTTAACAAATGAGCAAATTATTAACAAATTTATATATTTTATGTTTCATCTTGCAGTGTTATTTTATCATGAATCCTTAGCATTGGCAACATTCGCTATGATACTGACGGCGATGTTACGCAAACTGGAAGACATGAGCACACAGACACCAAGTTGGATCTTGTTCATTACGACATTGGTTTTAAGCAACAAGGTTGGACGTTTTCTGATTCTCAAAAACGACAAGTCCAAAATTGATAGAGATGTAGAGACTGAAGAAAGTTCAGATGTTACAGAATCTGAAATAAGCCTAAAGGAATTGTCCTGGAAATATTTTGCTACTATTATTGACTGGATATCTTTCTTTTGTGTGATTTTTACTTATATAATTATCTTGATTATTTTAATGCCTGTGGATTAATTTGTGATAAAGAATAAAATTATTTTGATGCGTGTATCTCTTATGTTATTACCTTAATTATTTTTTGTCGACAAAAATTTAAATTTATAGGTTTATTGAAGATTGTTAACGTCAAATAATTTTTATTTTTGTTTGTTTAATTTGTATTTATTTAAATAGAGATTAATTCACAAAATAGAGATTAAGTTTATCTTAAGAATTAAGTATATCTTAATTTGTTTAAACTTATGTATTTTAAAATAACGGATGTGTGTATGGAATGTTACACTACTCGTTCATATATATTATCATTAAATTGATGCACATATTGCATAGATATACAATATGATATTAATGAAATTATCACACCTCCGTTATTTCAATGAAAATGTTAATTCATCATTTACCAATCCGATGCGCAACAGCGGAATTGTACCTGCAACGTATCTACGATGATTCTGTAATAAATAAATATAAAATTCAAATTAAATCCGATAGAAAAATAATCATTGCACAAAAAAATAATTATTAAACAAACGTATGCAAAGTTTTCTATAAAATAATTATGTAGTTTTTAAAACATAATTTATAAACATTAATTTATTTTATTTATTATTTAATTACAGATATTCATGAAAGTAATTACATCTATATTTTCTAAAAATCTTATCTTAAAACAATAATAAGTTTTTATGAAACTTTCAAACAATTTAAAGTAATTCTTTTTTCTAATTATTATTTTTAAATTATTGTAAAATAAAATAATTCAAGAATAAACAAGAAAAAGATTAATTTTACACAAGTAAAAAATAATATTTATCGCACACCATGCTCCACCGATGCCCAATGTCTTTTCCAGACCTTTTCCTCCCTTCAGAACTAGGTTGTCATTTCGCACAGTACATTTGTGAACAATATACGATAATCGCGGGCGAACTAATTATTATTTGAACAGCACTTCCGAAATAACGCACGACGCGACAAACGTGACGATTGCAGTTCATTTTCAATTAAATTGGTGAATAGTAGTTAATTTCGCCGTCATTAGATTTTTACACGAAGAAAATAATTTTTGCTTATGTGTCTAAAAATTTAGTTACAGATATAATTTAAATAGATCCGAAATTTTTTTTAATATTTTGGAAAAACTATTCTTTCGTGTATATCCGTGGAATACTAAGGGCTACCACTTTGTCAAGATCGTACTTTTATGAGAGGAAAGATATATTCTAAAATATAATGTACAAAATTATCTGTTATTATACAATCGATTTATTTTTAAGAATAAAAATCAAACGCACATCAGTTCGTTACTATTGCGAAACAAATTTAGAACAGATAGACGAAATGAATCTCTTATAACTTATAATTTGTGTATTATAAAATATGTATTATAATATTTGAAAAACATAAATCGAATAGCTCACAAATTAATAAGAAAGAAAACATATCTTCTATTATCGGCTTATTATTATTGCTGGCAAAAGATCATAAAGTTACGTTGGATTTTTATACGCACATAACGAAGGATAAAAACAAAAAAACCAATTAAATTGTTTTTAATTAGTTTTATTATATAAACTGCATGAGAAAATCACTTATATGAGAATATGAATCGCGTTATTTGTATAAGGATATTTATTATAATGTTATGTTCTTATAACTTTTTAAATATCATTTAACTAATTTCAAAATATAATTGAGAATTATACTCAAAGAAAAATTTTATGTTAATGTCACGTCCGAGAATAAGACTTAAGGAAATGCGTGAACGGGAGTGAAGCGTGTGGAATGAGCCTTAGCCTTGACAACCACGAGAGTTTATGTTGCGGTTGCCAAATTTAATTATTGTTCAAATATTTAGATTGATAATCGTAACTTTGATTCAACTCTACTGCTGTCACGAATCTTATTATATTAATATATATTGCATGTTAGCAGACATGTAGCGTCGCTTAACGGATTACAAATTTTTGCTAAACTAAATATGGCACAAACATATTTGCAACTACCAGATGAAAAACGGCAGAGACTCAAGCGATAGTGACTCACAAGGGAATCTTCGAAGTAAACAGACTGCAATTCGGAATAAGTACGGCACCACAATTATTCCAGAAATTAGTCGACACATCCTAACTTCAATTCCAGAAGTATTTCCATATTATGACGACATATTGATTGGTGCGTCTTCAGAACAAGAACTCTACAATCGAGTTCGAGAAGTTTTTTTTAACAAGGTTTAGAAACAACGGGCTCAAATTAAAATCAGATAAGTGTGTTACCGGAGTTAAATCAATAGATTTTTTGGGATATTACATCAACAATTAAGGAATACAACTCACTAGAAAGAAAGTGAGAGATATCCAATAGGCCCCGAAGCGTCAAAACAAGAACTTCAGTCAGTTATAGGTTTAATAAATTTTTATCATTCCTTCCTGAAAAGCAAAGCTACGAATCGCTTCACCGACTTCTGGACAAGAATATACCATGGCACTAAGACAAGGTGCACAACAAAACATTTAATGCCACTAAAGAGCTGCTTACATCCAATACACTTCTAACATACTACGATAACAATAAGAAATTAATATTGTCATGCGTCATCTTGGGGAATAGGTGCAATTCTGCTCCACGAGGTGGAAGGCTCAACCAAACCTATAGTACACCACTCCAAGCCTCTTTCGGCAGAGCGGAATTATTCAGTTGGATAAGGAAGCATTAACTATTGTTACAGAGATCAAGAAATTTCATAATTACCTAAACCGTCATCGAAACGAATCATGAACCTTTGCTAAAATTGTTAGGAGAAAAAACACCGGCTTTAAGATATTTGGAAATTGGCTCGTACAATTTCAATCATAATTTGAAGAAATGAATTTAGAAGATTTTAAAAATTAGAAAATTCTGATTTATTATAAAAATTCAAAGAGAACTTTATAAAAAAAATTTATGTTCGAGCAATTTTAGTCGATCGAAAGTCTCAAATAAGATTTTTGTACAACAATTTACTTAGTGTTTCGCTAAGTAAATTTTTGGAAACAGCGGAGAATTACTAAGTACTTATTGTTTGCTCGGAAATAATCTAAATACAGAAGTTATTCTGCGAACCAGACTTTAAGGATGTCCGTAAGATAAGTTCGCGCCGAGTCCTGCGAGGACCCGTCTATGTACATCTAAAGGGATAGGAGAAGCTTGGGCAGCGCGGACGTGTTAAGGTTGAGAAGAAAAAATGACACAATTAAAATTGAGATCAGAAATCATTTTTATTCTCATAAATCTCTTAAAGGACTTAACTTTGAAATTTAAAAAATTAAAAAACTTGAACATAGTATGTCGTTTTAGTTAAAACATAAAAAAAGAGAAATGATCCGCTTTGTCCAATTCCCCTGGGCAAAGCAAATGGATCACTCAAGCAATTCAAATAAAATTAAAAAAATTAGAATCAATCTTGGCAATCGTCACAAAAGTAGCTACCAAATCCTCTATGTAGTGCAGCTTTATGGTAGTGTAGTGCAGCTAAATGTACGTAATGAACTTATTAGTAAAATATATCTATTGTATATATATATATATATATATATA